CTCAGTGTGGATTTGTCAGAAGATGTACTACGAAGGATGCTTGATCACATCCATCAGCTTGAAGAAATCAGGTAAGTTTGACCCAGGTCTCTGCAGGTATTGGAAGTATTCTCACAAAACATGACATGATTCAGATACCCACAGTCAGAAGATGATGAATTCTGCTGACTCCTCCTTAAAGTTTTACTTATACTTTTGATTGAAATATCTCAACAACTATTGGGAGGGTTTTTGTCAAATTTGGTGCAGATCATAATGTTTCCTGAAGGATGAATTGTAAAACCTTAACTTTTCCTCTACCACTACTGTCAGGTAGCTGCAAAACTAATGACACTACCACCAGCTTCAGTTATACTTTGTGTTTAATGCTGATTAGCAAATATTAGCACACTAAACCTGATGGTGAACAACATGGCTGCCACACATGAGCATGTTAGCATGCTGGAGTTAGCATTTAGCTCAAAGTACTTCTCTGCTTAACTCAGCCACAACATTAAACTACTGACTTAGGTGAAGTTAATAATTTTGATTTTCTCCTGATATATTAGGCAGTAAGTTATCAGGCAGTTCTTGAAGGAGACGTGTTGGAAACAGGGAAAATGGGCAGCAGAAGAATCTGAGTGACTTTCACAAAGGCCACATTGTGACAGATCCTAAATGAATTCCTTGTTAATTTCTTCTTCTCTCAGGATGAACCAGCCCTTCCGGATGGTGTTCTTGTTCCAGGAAGTTTCCTGTTCAGACTTCATCAGTCAGTTCAAAGAGCGACAACCCAAGATGCTGGAGTTTCTAAAACAGATGGAGGCGATTGCTGTTCAGCTTGACAGGATGAATAAGGGCGCAAAGATCTCCAGTGTGGCAGGCAGCTCAGTGGGGGCGGTTGGAAGTGTGCTGTCCATTGTTGGTTTGGCACTGGCTCCTTTTACTGCTGGAGTTTCTTTAGCTCTGACAATGACTGGGGTTGGGCTGGGAATGGGCAGTGCAGTCAACAGCGTTGTCACCACCGTCACAGAGATCGGAGTAAATGCTGCACAACAAAAGAAAGCTGGTGAAACCTTTGAGGGCTTCATGAAGGATGTGCAGAGTCTCCAAGATTGTCTGGAGAAGGTGGCCAATCAACCAGTCAACAACATGGAAGCAAAGGCTGGAAAAGTGGCTGTGGGAGTAGGTGTGGCCCTCATTGCAGGTGGTGCTAGAGTTGGTAGAGGCATTGATGTCCTTGTTGATAGTGCTTCTGCTTTGAAGGTGTTAAAAATTGAAGAAGCTGCATCAAGTGCTGGCAAAGTGGTGGCTCAGGAGGGGGCAGCCTTGCGTAATGTTCCCAAAGTGGCTGCAGATATCCCAGATATTGGTCAGGCAGCAGTCAAAGGGCCTCTTGCACTCAGCAAGTCCGCCAGGGCCGGTTTCATCGCAGTCAACGCTCTCTTCCTTGGCATGGACATCTTCTTCATCTGCAAAGACAGCATCAGTCTGGCTAAAGGCAGCGAGACTGAAGTGTCAAAGTTCATCAGAGCCAGAGCTGCTCTGTGGAGCTCAGAGATGAACTCATGGCAGAAGATCCATGACTCGCTAGACGAAGGCCAACCAAGATCGGACAAAAAGAAAATTGTCCTGGAGACACCATTTTATCCAGAGATGTAGACAGAGAGCAAAACAGAAATGAAAGTTCCCTCTGATGAAGTGGATGGAGGAATGAAAGATACAGTAGGAATCAATGAACAGACAGTGCTGTGCTAATTAACACTGTGATCACATATCAGCTTCATTTAATGTGACTCACCCAAGTTTATAAAACTAGACTCTGCTTATTGCTCATGGTTCAGCATCAAAAATCAATAAAATAAAGCTTTGGGCTGTTTTTAGCTCATTAGCTGTAATTCTGCTGATTTAAACCAGTTTCAG